ATTTGATCCTACAAAAACTCTTCCTACTTAATCCTTTGTCAAGAATTATAAGAATTAATATCATTAGAAAACGAAGGATTGAAAAAAAAAATGGAAAAACGCAATAAGAAATTATCTTGATAAGTAAATTCACTCCTTACTCAACAAGAATGATGAAGAAATCTCTCTTGAATAAGACTTACAATATTATTGTTTTTAATCTTGAATGTTTACAATGAAGACTTCATAGCCTATTTGTAGGGTAAGCTATGTGAAAAGAAAAGTTAATAAAAATCTCATAATTTAAAATTACAATTATATAATTCTAAATCCCCAACTATGTGAAATTACATAGAAAATTAATTAAAATTAAAGTTTGAATTCCTAACTAAGTGCAATTACATAGAAAATTAATTAAAATTAAAGTCTAAATTCCTTAATATGACATATATTTTCCTTTTTTCTTGACTGATTATTTCCTTTTCTTACCAATTTCTATCATGTGCTTAAAGTAAGTTGATGAGACCATTATACCTTTAGGTTAATTGATTGGATAACTTATTTCTTTAGGCTTTTTTAGTGGATCCAAGTCCATCTTCCACATTAATCCAACTTTGGATGAAGAGTTAGAGAGCTTATTGAAATCCTTGGGTTTGGTTCCTTGTTATGTGCCCACTTACCATGATGATGTCTCTTTTAAATGGCCCAAAGTGATCCATGCTCACATAAATAAGGTTGGCTGTAATAAGACTCTTATTCACTAAATATGATATTTGCAGACACATAAAAGTTTTAGATGAGAGAATAGTAACATTTGTACCCCTTTTAAGATGAGGAATACCCCACAAATAAGCATTTCAAGATTCTAGTATCAACCTTCCCTCCTTGGTGAGAATAAATATGGACAAAAGCAATACACCTAAAAACTACTAAAGCTTTTTAAGAGGATTTTTGAACTCAAGAAGATTTGTGGACAAACGATTAATAATGCAAGCGGTAATAAGGACAATATCACCTTAATATTGTTTTGGAAAATTATTTTTGAGCAAAATAGCTCTTGTGGTATTATTCTTTCGTTTTGATACTCTATTCTATTATGGAAATAGAAGTAAGATGATTCATGAAGGATTCTCCTTCCTAATGGAAGAATGAAGAAAGTGTGTGATTGAAAAAATCTTTGACTTTTTCGATGCAAAATTTCTTTATGGATATTTTAAATTGGATTGTTATCATATTATATAATTGAGATATGATATGACTAATATTAGATTTGATCTTGAGCAAAAACTAGGTGACTCTAGTGCAATCTATAAATGATATAAGCCGTCGACTTTTAAAAATATTAGGTATATAAGATGGTCCCCAAATATCACTTTGGATTAAGAAAATGGAACTAAATTTTGTTTATTACTAATGAAAAATGTCACACGCCTATATTTTGTAAACTCACAAATATCACAGTATAAATTTCAATATTCTGAATTCTTAAATAAAGTGAAATATCACCTTTAAGATGGAGAAATATGGATGTTCAAATCTTTTACAATGAAGCTAAATCTTATGTGTGAGGTCAGTAGTAATAACAAAGAATGATCCCCTAGATGGATCTAAGTAGTAGAGTTTGTCTCTGATTTCAGTATGTCCAGTTATCGTCCTCGAACTCTAATCCTGAAAGTCATAGTGAAAAGAGGCAAATATTATGTTATAATTCAAATCTTGTGATAAGTTATATACTCACACAAGATTATTGTATAATTTGGGGACACGTAATACATTTTTTAAGATAATGGTTGGGTTACATTTAATATCGCCCTTACTTACAATAATATTGAGTGAACCATCTATATATCCACTTTTTATTAATTGGACAAGGAATATATGAATTTAGAACATCATATGATATGTGGCTAAGTCTATAATTGAAGAGTTTTCAAATGACTTATCTGAGGCATTTAGTTCCTATAAGGTAAAAGTCATACCTGAGTGTGCCAATAAATGGATACCTATTTGTTTCTTTAGGGACTCAAGTCATGCCCTTAGTATTTCATTCTCCAATCTAAATTTACAAATTTTCATGTTGGAATTTTCTCCAACAACTTATGATGTACTCTGACATCCTTTAAGAATTGGCTAATAATTAATTGTTGAAAAAGAAAAAATTATCGTTCCTGTAGCACGTGGCTAAGTGAAGTTATATTCGTGTATGATCGCGACGAAGGTGATAAAGAGAGCTTGTGTGGCGGTGCGTGCTTGTGGACAACTGCTAGATGCAAAATTAGATATAAAAGAAAATTGTGGGAACATGACTTACTATTCATGACTAACAGTTACATCGAACAGCAACCGATTTTCGTCAACTTAAGAGGTATATGTAGGCTAGGTGGTGGCTATAAGGAGCAATGACTGCTCCTAAGGCTGACTACAAAGGTCGGTTGGTAAAGGTGCTTAGTTCTATGGAGACCAATGGCAAGAGGGTGGTGGCTGACGACAAAAGTGTGGTGGCCGGCTATGAAGGCTAAACCCTTTTAGATTTATTTATTTTGGCAATAAAGGCTGATTAGGGTTTATAAAGGAGTTTAAAATTTTTTTAATCTAAAGTTTTGATAACATTTTAAGAATGATATTTTAATTGATTGAGTATTATTACTTTATATATACAAGTTTTCTAGGACAAAAGAGGAAATAAACAATTAATTACAAAGGACATAATTTTACCCTTTAACTTGATTTGTTTCCTCTTTCACACTCTGATCTATTTCTTCTCTAACACATTAATTTACTTCCTCTTTTTTACCATGATTTTCTTCAATTATTTAACAACACCAAACACTCAACTTATTGATTGAAATGTATAAATAAAAATCATCCATAATTTGATATCTTATTGCAGATAAGTCAAGGCTGAATCAAATGAAATAGTAGAATATTTTGTCGTTGATGAACCCTAAGGCTTCATTGGCATCTTTAGTACTTAAAACTCTAGCAAACAACTCTTATTTAATAGCTCAGAGACAAGGTCGGAGCTTTTTACATGTTGTTTGGGTTTTTGTTTAAAAAAGCTTGAACTGATCCATTCGAGACTCTATTTCTCGTACTGAACATCAAATCCATTAATAATCAACCAATGTAAATCGTGTCTCTCCATAATATTTATGTTTACAATTGCATTTGGATATAGATGTTTTTTTAGATAGGGATGACGGTGGCTTTATTTCAAGGAGAAGAAGAAAAAAATCCATTATAGCAGAAGGAAGAAGAATAAGGAATCAACCATAGAAAAAAGAGTGATGGGGTCATCAACTACCATTGAAGAAAAAAGTAGATGAAAAATTTTGAAAGTGGAGAATAGAAATCCTAATAAATAAAAGGAGTATGACATTGGCTTAAATTACAATAGGTTCACAAACTTAAAACTAAATATAATACCATCACATAAAATGGATTATATTTGAATAACTAAAATTTATTGGTGTGGAGAAAAGAAAGAATAGAATTTAATGACTCCAATAATAAGAGGTCAACTCTATATATAAATATTTAGTAACAAAAAAGAATTTCATTTGTAAAATTTTACCTATACAAACGATTTTTATTTGTATATGGTACTTTTATTTACAAAATGTATCTGTCAATAGAAATTTATTGGTAGTGACTATAAAAATATATGATTATCTGCATATGTATATTTTTACCAATGAAAAATCTATTATTAAAGATAATTATTACTATAACTTAATTTTCTTATAGTGTAAAACTCGAGAGAGGGGAAGTGATTTTTCAAGTGACTAATTAAGTTTTTAGCACAAAAATCTTCACAAAAAATGTCAGTAGATAAGTGAAAAAAATTTCAAATCTTATCAGACTTAATTTTTAATAGAAATTGGACTATTAGAATGAGAACACTAGACATTTGTCTTCTACCATATTGAATAAATTAATTAAACTGATTATTTTAAAAGGTTAAGATTTTGAAAAAATTATTAATTCAATCAATTATCTAATACTGATATACGTTAAGATTTTAGAAAAATCATATCAATTAATTATTTGATATTTTAATAGGCTAAAAAGACAACCTTAATTGTCAAGAAATTTAAATGGATAAGGAGAAGAAAATTGTGGAGATTGGTGTGTGATGAAGATCAATGGTGGTTTGTGAAGACTATATATATTAGTGTATCTATATGTGTATTTGAGATGCAACGAGCAGGCCCAAACTTAACTAAGCTCCTCTTCTCTCTTTGTATATTCTAAACCCCCAAAAAATTTTCCTCTTTGTTCTTGCACCAAAATTAAACTTCCACCTTAAAGTTAAATCTAAAGCATTATATCCGTTACTAAGTTAACAAATTATACTTTAATATATACAGCATAGACTAAACTAAATGGGCCGAATTTTGTAACTTCATTAGATTCATTATATGAAAAACAAAACTCTATCAAACTACTTCATGCATAGATATTTAACTTTTTGATTTAATGGCCACAATTTTTTTAATAATTTCTCATAAAATAATGTAAAGCTTATCAAAATAATTAGTTTCTCTTTTTAATTAGCTTCAGTTAAGAAAAGAAAACTGATTAAGACTTTTTTCTCTTGCTTCAAAATATTGTTTTCATCAAGTATGTTTTTCAAGTGGTTAGGCATAGAATTCTTTAAGTATTAGCTGAACTGCAATTTGCGTAACTAATTGAACTTGAGAATTCTCAACAAAAATGAACAAAGGTGAAATTTTCCTTCTTAAGTATTATATACGTAAACACATATATGTTGTACAACTATTTCTTGCTTGGCTTCCCTTTGTTTTATTTTTCAGGTTTTGGAGTCTCTTGGAGAAAATGGAAGCATCCATCTACTTCATTTTGTTTTCTCTTTTTCTATTTTGAGTAAACTTCCTATGCATGATAACACGTTCTGATTTATTTAATGTGTATGTATACATATTGTAGAGAGTTGCAGAAGTGGTGGTGGTGGAAGTCTGATGATTTACAAAATTAAGAAAGTGAAGATATAAAAGGTTTCAGAGTTTAGGAGGTGGGAGAATCCACTGGGATCCTTGTATGAATGTTGTGCCCAAGAAGGGTTTGGCTTCTTCGTCTGAGAGCATCTTCGCGAATCCAACTCTCCCAGAGGTCTTAGCACCTCTACCGCTGTAGTTGTATTCTCCATAATACATTGTTCTGAAAACACATACCCACATATATAAGTATATATAGCGCAGATATACATAATTATCTATACTAATTAATGTGTAGTAGTACTTTTCACGTTCTGGGTGATGGCCAGTAGACCAGCCAAGAGGGTTGACGAGAGAAGCCATGTCAGAATGAGCAAATATAACTCTGGATCTGCTCTTCCAAGCACGACCCAAGAGAATGTCGCCTCTTCCCTTAATTTTGCAATGCAGAAAGATGAATCCGCTCTCGTCTTCCTCGCTCTCTCTTGCCTGTGCTGTGACCACACCCATCCCAATTGCCACTGAATGGAGAATCGAATTCTGCATCATCATCATCATTCATTTTATGTAAGCTATCTTAATGTTTTAATTAATAACCTATAAATATATATTTATATATTAGAGAGAGAGAGAGAGGAGAACCAAATAGATCGATCTACCAGTTCCAAAAATGAAATCATAAGTGCCACGAATGTAACAATCTTTGAAGAAATGTTTGTCTTTATCGTCACACAACGTGTCTTGAAACCCTAAGAAATTGCAGTTATAGAAGGCTGCCATGTCCCCTGATATTCTCATTGCCACCGTCTGTGCTCCCACTCGTTTTTCGTCTAGCATTGGAGCTGAATTCTACAAAAAGAAATAAACACAGATATAATTAACTAACAAAGAGTATTTAATCAGCATACATGATAAACTAAAGTAATAGTTGATATACATATACACATTAAACTCACCACAAAAGCAATATTCACAGCCATGAAGTAATCGCTCTCCACGACCATCGTAGCATTATACAGCGTCCCGTTGAAGACGATGGTGGGCATATTCTCGAGATCTCCATAGAACGTGATGAACTTCTTGGATCTATCGATGGTGATCATCTCCCAGTACGTACCCCCACCTATCCAAACCACCACTCTATGAACGAAGAATGTGAGAGAGAGATAGCAGCCGTGGAAATCATGTGCTGAAGGAAAAGCAGGGTAGCTGAAAGTGACGCGAGAATCGATAGTTGGTTTTTTGGAGCCATTATCGCACTGCATAACATTAACAATGCTTCCTTATAAAGAAAGTGAAAATTTTGGCAGTATGTAGAGCGAGTAGTGATTGAAGGTTTAAACAAATTAAAGGCTACGAGAAGTGTTCGCCATTGGGTTCCAACTAAAATCATCATAAGTAAATTAGATTATGGATTCTTGTTTCATCTTGTTGCTGGTTTGTTTTCTTGTTTAACATTAATTCAGCTATGGCTGCTGTTGGTGTTGTTTTCTTTCTTTCTTAACATACAATTAATTATTGGTATTTAGTCGATGTGTAAGTATATAGCTTTATACAGGTGTTTGGTGATTTTGCTTTGCAGTTTCTTTTGCTTGACATTGAGTTTGTTTGTGGATACATACATACACATATAATATAAATTAATTATTTAGACACTATTTACAATTAGTAATTAAATTTAATATACATATTATTAATTTACCATTAAATAAACAAGAATTACAATTCTAATAAAATTAAGTTTTGTAACGTACAAGTAAGATATATAAATCTCTCAAGATAAAAATTTTATTGTAATTTTAAGAAAAGATCTTTTAATTTAACTAAAATTTCCAAATAATTTACAAATGCCAAATGAAGTAAAAAAAATTAATCTAAATAAATTGACATTTAAAATAAGGATCTAATAAATTTTAACGGAGCCCAAATAAAATTGAAGGATCTATCACTGATCATATATGTATATGTGTGTGTGTGTGTGTGTGTGTGTGCGTGTGTGTATATATATATAAAAATTAAGGATATTACATTAATAATCCCGAAGCCCAACTAGTATCTTTTAACGGGCTGGGCTTTATGAACAAGAATTATACGAGCCGATGAAACGCAGTGTTTTGGGCTTTCATTTGCCATCTGGATATACCAATAGCCCGATTTGGCTCTAATACTGAAATAAGAATATTACTAGCACAACTCCCATACAATTATTAATCACATTTTTCTTTTTCTAATTAACTTTTTCAGTTTTATATATTCTTTAATTTTGTAATTTTTATTTGACATATGACAGCTGAGATTATATGTTCTTACCATTACAACTTAATATTTTTATTTTATTCTAACTTTCATCTTAGATTTAATTTTCATTTACCATATTGCATACACAAAAAATAAACACTAAACATTTACTGTGCACTATAACATAATTTACAATTAACTCAAAAGCAAGTTTCTAGGTCAAACCTTAAGTATGAGATAATTTGATACATACATCTTTATTCCTCTTCAAGAATTCGAGTTTTCTTTCTTCTTTCACTAGTTCAATTTTTTCTGATACAACTAATTAATTTAAACACTACAAGAATAATCCAGATTATCAATAGCCTTACAGATAGATACGGCGATAGAAAAAAAGTTATGATTATCTAGATAATAAAAGTTAATTTAAGACGAATTTTAAAAAAATAAAAAATTAGGACGATCTTTAATCTACTGAAAAAGACGAATGGGAAAATGAAGAAGCTGAGTTACAGTGAAGAAAATTGTCGCAAAGTAAATAACAAAATTCAAGAAGAAGTCATATGAAGCCAAGTCATGTCTATACTGAGATGCTTTCCTCACCATTAGGAAAGTTGTTGCCTTAGGTGAAAAAAATAGCTAAATTTTGGAATAGCTAAACTATAATTTCATGAATGATTAAAAAGTTGATTGAATTAAGGAATTAGAATTTGAGATCATTTTGATTTTAAGTGTGATGTAAAAAAAATACATATATATATATGAATTATTTTAATATTTTATTGAAGTAATTTAATATTATGTTTATATAGATAATTTGTTTTATTAATTTTGTTAATAAATACATTTTTTATATATTTGAATTCATTAAATTTTTAAATAATAAATTTGATCCCATCCCATCAAATTGATTAAACAACCTAATTTGATCTGAATTAAAACTAATACACTTTAGTTTTTGGTCAAAAAGTAGTTGAATATTGTATAGCAATTTAGTTAGGTTTAATATATTATAAATTTTAAATAATAAACACTTTAATAAGATACACCGTAGTAGTTCGGGAGTAATATTGATACATATTAATAATGTAGGATTTTTAATATATATATTTCACAAAGATCAATTTATTTGATCACGATAATTTAAATATGAAGTAAAAGTAAAAGAATATATATGTATATTAAAACTTGCATCTGGTTCATCACCATGAATTAAG